CTGGTTTGAGGTTTTTCTCTTGTCCAGATACAGTCCTCTGCTTCCCCAGCTGCACTTTCTCTTCCCTTTGTCTCTCTGCAGAAGGGGATCCCTCCCCTCCTTTCGTTTTATCTGTCCCAGTTCAGAATCACGCACCTACGGCCCATCAGATTGTCCCTGTGGGTCCCTGGAAGCAACTGTCTCTTTTCCTCCTGGACTCTCAGAATTCACAGTCCTTTAGCTTCAACACTGCTTTGTTTGATAGACGAGGGAACTTGGGATCCCCCTACTTCTCTGCCATGTTGGCCCCTCCTCTACTGGGTGATTTTTCAAAAAGCTTGTTTTAAAGTAAGATAAAACTAAATTCCTTTCTCACCTCTTTAAAATGATTATTTACAGGAACACTCTGTGAAGAAAAAGAAGAAAAAAGACAAGCACTCAAAAAAAGTAAAGAAAGAGAAGAAAAAAAAGAGTAAGAAACAGAAGTATGAAAAAAGCAAGGAGTCAACTGATAGTTCATCAGTAAGTATGTATTAAAGCCAGCCAAAGCAGCTGCTTGAGAAAATTGTGTTTGAAGGAATGATGTTTAGGAACTTAAAATATATGAGAACTGAAAAAACATGACTAGTTAGGGTATGAAAACGCCTGGGAAACATCGACTTGGAGATGTCCAGGAAATGCTGGAAACATGGATCTTAGGTTACAGAGAAAGGTAGGAGGATGGAGTTAGAATTTGGGAGTCATTGCTCTGTGAAGCCATGAGAGTAGATGAATTGTCCAGGGACACTGAAGAAGAAGGGGGGCACCACACTGAAGAGCCAGGCAGGAGTAAAGGCTGTTCAGTAGAAGTAGCTGGAAATTGGAAGGAGCTGCAGGGAAAGAGCAGTTGTGTACACATAAGAGAGAAGAGAGTTTTAAGACATTTGTGAGTCTACTACTCTTGTTTATTTTTTTTAATGGAAATTAACAATTCTTTAAAATAGGACATGGTGGGGCGCCTGGGTGGCGCAGTCGGTTAAGCGTCCGACTTCAGCCTTCTTGCGATCTCCTTGATCCCGTGATTCGAGCCCGGGAGCTCTGGGCTGATGGCTCAGGGCCTGCAGCCTGTTTCCGATTCTGTGTCTCCCGCTCTCTCTGCCCCTCCCCCGTTCATGCTCTGTCTCTCTCTGTCCCAAAAAAAAAAAAAAAAAAAAAAGTTGAAAAAATAAAATAGGACATGGTAATATATTTATCTTCGTGGTCAAAAGGATGTGGCCCCACTGTGTCTCTAGCCAGTTCTGGGATGAGAGGACTCACAGAGGAAGGGAAAGCCTCTCATGAGTATTTTCAGGAAGAAAGAGGTACATGGTGCTTAGAGAGCTGTGGGCTATAGATGTTGAGGGATAGTTTGGTTTTCTAGGTCTGATCTTCAGAGGGTTGTATGTGCAGGTGAATCACCAAATTCCCAAGTGTAGCCCTCTTGCCGTTTCAGAAACTGAGCGTGTGGCAGTACCCCCTGAGATGATAAATGGCTCGTGGAAGCCTGTCTTATGTGAGAATGCAGTTTATTAATTCACAGTGGATACTTTATCCACTTTATCCACAGCTGGATACTTTGGTCAGGTAGCCAGCATATTTTGTAGTGGTAGGAATATTTAGGTTTTACAGAAAAAAATTTGTTAAATATAATTCAGGATGAAGTGAGTTGGAAAGTCTTAGAGCAGAAAGAAGGTAGAAACGGTGTTTCCACAGCTCTGTGTTGAGTTGCTGGTCCTGTTGAGAAACTGAAAGAAGTGAGTGATCCTCTTTGTGAAAAGAAGTTTGTATTTAAAGTTGTTTATTTCAGTAGGATTTATGAAACTCCCTGGGGTTTACGCAGAGATCACAGGTTCGGCATCCCTGTCCCATGGGGATACATCTGGCAGGCAGAGTAAACATTTAATAATCTGACTCAGGGTGCTTGCTTCCTTTTAGAGGCACACTGCCCGTTATTTCTCTTTGTTCTTCCCTAGAAATACAGTTGCCCCTTGAACAGCATGGGCTTGAACTTTGTGCATCCACTTACAAGCAGATGTGTTTTAGATAAATATAGTACAGTACTCTATTTTTTCTTCCTTATGACTTCCTTTTTTCTAACTGACTTTATTGTACGAATAGGTGCATAATTCATATAACATACAAAATACATGTTCGCTGATTATGTTATCGGTAAGTCTTCAAGTGCACCCATAGGCTATTAGTAGTTACATTTTTGGGGAGTGAAAGTTGTATGTGGATTTTTGACTTTGTGGGGAGTCAGCACCCATAATCCCCTCGTCATGTCATTTATTGGTCAGCTGAGTAGATAAGTCTTTTTGTTGCAACATACAACGTGTACACTTTTACATATATAATAAGTTGTATAACTATACCTTGGAGAGAGTTGTTTGAGTGAAAGGTCAGTGAAAGCACAGAGAGTTCCAAACAAGATGAACACAGGATGGTGTCTACACCATGGCACCAAATAATTAAAGGGTCAAAGGTTAAAGATAAAAAGAGAATCTTAAAAACATCAAGAGAGAAACAAAAAGTTACCTACCAGGGTAAAACCTATAAGGCTATCTATCAGCTGGTTTTTCCTCAGAAACTTTGCAGGCCAGAAGGGAGTGGCATGACATAGTCAAAGTGCTGAAAGGAAAATGCCTACAACCAACAACATTCTCCCTGGCAAGGTTTTCACTCAGATTTGAAGGAGAGATGAAGAGTTTCCTAGACAAACAAAAGATAGAGGAGTTTATCACTACTAAACCAGCCTTACCAGAAATGTTAAGGGGACTTCTTTTTTTTTTTTTTTTAATGTTTATTTATTTTTGAGAGAGAGAGAGTGAGAGAGAGAATGAGTGGGGAAGAGGCAGAGAGACAGAGACACAGAATCCAAAGCAGGCTCCAGGCTCTGAGCTATCAGCACAGAGCCCGATGTGGGACTTGAACTCACAAACCATGAGATCATGACCTGAGCTGGAGTCAGCAGCCCAGCCGACTGAGCCACCCAGGTGCCCCAAGGGGACTTCTTTAAGTGGAAAAGAAATGGCCATACTTAGACCGAAGATTAATATGAATAAAAAGATGTAAAATAGGACAACACGTACATAAAATGTGGGGAAGGGTGTAAAAAGGGAAGAGAAGGAGAAAAAGATTTTTTTTTAAGAAAATGTTTGAACTTAGATGACCATCAAATTAATATAGACAGCTGTTTACTTAGGATGTTATGTATGAACCTCATGCTAACCACAAACCTGAAACCTATGATAGACTCAAAAAGTGAAGAGAAAGAAAGCCAAACAAAAGACTATAAATAATCATTTGATCACAAAGAAAGAGCAAGAGAAGAAAGGAAAGAACTATGAAAACAATAGAAAACAAATTTTAAAAATGGCCATAAGTACATACCCGTCAATAATTACTTTAAAAGTAAATGGCCTCAATGCTCTAATCAAAAGACAGAGTGGTGGAGTGCATAAAATACCAAGAGCCATCTATGTGCCATCTGCAAGAGACTCACCTCAGACCTAAAGATTCGCCGTGCAAATGGAAGTGGAAGAGAAAACCGGGGTAGCAATATTTATATCCGATAAAATAGACATTAAAACAAAGACTACAACAGAGACAAGGGCATTACATAGTGATTATCCATTGATTCCACTATTGGGTATTTACCCAGGGAAAATGAAATCACTAACTTGAAAAGATACATGTACCACTATGTTTACTGCAGCATTATTAACAACAGCTAAGACTTGGAAGCAGCCCAAGTGTCCATCAGCGGATGAATGGATAAGGAAGATGTGGTGTACACACACACACACACACACACACAGGAATATTACACAGCCTTAAAAAAGGATGCGATTGTGCCATTTGAGACAACACGGAAGGACCTGGAGGGTATTACAGTAAGTGAAATAAGTCAGACTGAGAGAGACAAATACCATATGGTTCTACTCATAAATGGAACCTGAAAAAGATGAATGGATACACAAAAAGAATAAGAACTGTAAATATGGAGACCAAACCGATAGCTGCCAGAGGGGAGGGGTGTAGGGGGTTGGGTAAAATGGGTGAATAGAAGAGGGAGGTACAGGCCTCCAGTTAAGGAATGAGTAAGTCACGGGAATCAAAAGCAGAGCATAAGGAATATAGGCAGTGAGGTAAAAGCAGCGTAACGGGGCGGATGGTAGCCACATTGTGGTGAGCACGGCATAATGTATAAACTTGTCAAGTCACTAAGTTGCACACCTGAGACTAATGTAACATGGTAGGTCAACTGTACTCAAAAAACAAAGAGAAAAAAACCCTCATGTGTAGGTTAACAATAAATATCCTTTGAATCTTGGACTTTGAAAAAAAAAAATTACTGTGACTTATTTTTGGGCCCAGCCTGTGATCTATCTTGATGAAAATTCCATGTGTATTTGAAACAAGTGTGAATTCAGCTGTTGGTAGGTGTAGTATTCTATAAATGCCAGTTTGGGAAAGTTGATTAATAGTGTAAAGTATTTTATATTTTTACTGATTTTTGATTTTTCTCTTCTGTCAGTTATTGAGAGAGCAGTATTAAAATCTCTAACTGTAGTAGATTTTTGTCTATTTCTCCTTCAGTTTTGTCAGTTTTTGTCTTATGTATTTTGAAGTTTACTAAGTATGTACACATTTAGAATTGTTATATCTTTTAGATGAACTGGCCATTATATTTTTGTGAAATGTTTCTTTTTATCTCTAGTAATACTTTTTTTGTAGGTAACTTTGTTTCATGTTAATAAACTTCAGCTTTGTTATTTGTTTTTTCATTTTTTATTCCTTTATTTTTAATTTCTTTTGTTTTTATTGAAAGTATTCTTATAGACAGTGTATATTTGGGTCTTGCTTTTTTTAAAAAAAATTCTTTTTTTTCAACGTTTATTTATTTTTGGGACAGAGAGAGACAGAGCATGAACAGGGGAGGGGCAGAGAGAGAGGGAGACACAGAATCGGAAACAGGCTCCAGGCTCTGAGCCATCAGCCCAGAGCCCGACGTGGGGCTCCAACTCACGGACCGCGAGATGGTGACCTGGCTGAAGTCGGACGCTTAACTGACTGCGCCACCCAGGCGCCCCTGGGTCTTGCTTTTTTATCTAACCTATCAATTTCTTCCTTTTTAATTAGAGGCTTTTCTGCACTATCTAATATAGTAGCCATATGTGGTTTTTAAAATTTTAATTAAAATTCATTAAAGTAATATTAGATTGAAAATTGATTTCTGCATTCTCATTTGCCAAATATTTTTTGTAAATTTTTTTTAATGTTTATTTCTGAGAAAGAGAGAGAGAATGCAAGCAGGGGAGGGACAGGGAGAGAGGGAGACACAGAATCTGAAGCAGGCTCCAGGCTCTGAACTATCAGCACAGAGCCCGAGGTGGGGCTTGAACTCATGAACTGTGAGGTCATGACCTGAGCCGAAGTCCGACGCTTAACCAACTGAGCCACCCAGGTGTTCTGCCAAATATTTTAAGTATTTAGTTATCACT